TTTATTTTATTTATTTATTCGATTTTTACCCCGCCCCTCTAGACAACGTCTACTCCCCCACAAAACCCAGTTTTGTCATTAGGGATTTGGTTTTACTTGTTGTGCTTGAATCTGAGGGCCAAATTCCCTCTTGAAAATGGAATGAGTGAGTGCATGAAATGAAAAAAAGAGCAGAAACATCCTACCAGGCACAGACGTTTCCTGTTCCTTCAGCCTTTTCCTTGTCACCCCCACCCATTTGCTGGATCAAGTGCTCGATGCAATTTGTTTCCCTTCCCAGGGAGGCTTTTATGAGAAGCCCGTTCTCCTAGCCATTGAATTTGAATTGAGCAGGCCGTCGCATTAGTCTTTGTATCAAAAGAGAAACCGGGAGTCTTGCAGCACCCTTCAGACTAACTAGTTTTTGCGTTTCCATAAGCTCTCATGTGCCCAAGCTGTGTCTTTTGAAGAAGGGTGCTTGGACACTGGGAAGCTTATGAAGAATAAAGGCTGGTTTAGTCTTAAAGGTCTACAAGACCTTCTGCTTAGAATTTAAAGAAAATGGGTGAGGAACCGATAGGTTCCGATATGCATTATATGCTTGCATGAAATTTCAGTTCTTTCACATTTTTATTTCTTCCCCCCCTTCCTTCTGCTTGTAGGTGATTCTGGTGGCCCCCTTATCATTCAGAACCGGCTGCGTTATGTTCAGGTGAGTAGTTACCTTGACGCCTCAGCCTGATAACAAAAAGAACCAGATTCGTTGCCTTGACTAGAACTGACAGCTCCACGCCTCCTTCCCTTGTATCATTTCTAAGTGAGATTGTGTCCCCCGTGTTTCTACACCCATATCATACAAGGGCAGCATTCGGTAAAGCGGCAAAAGAGAAAGTTCCCAGCCAAAATTTCAGCTTGGCAGACGACAGCAACATTCAAACTAGACTTTACATTTATCACATCTCTTTTGCAGAAGTTCTCCCTCAGGTGGCGTTAGCCTATTATTTTCCCCGCCTACGTATCTTGCATTCAGTGTGCTCTGTTTTGTGATTGGTCACTGGAAGACGAAGATGGTCTTCATTTGCAAGCCTTTTTGCTGAGATTCATATGAAACCCCAGGAAGGAAACGGGATTAACTGTGTTGTTTGTTTGTAAGGAATGGGTATTCCCTTCCAACGTTTTCACATTTTGCCATTCTGCATAATGAGTGGTGCTTTTTCCCCCATGGTAGCACCGTGTTTCTCACTCCACCTTCTTTTTCCTGCAGGTGGGGGTGATCAGCTGGGGTGTGGTTGACGTCTGTCAAAAGAGGCTCCCTGCGTGTGACAAAAATATCCGGGTGCAATCGCCCAGCTTTGCCAGGGATTTTCACATCAACATTTTCAAGGTCTTGCCTTGGCTTAAGCAACGGCTGAGTGACGAGGGACTGGACTTCCTGTAGAAGGGCTCCTCCTGGCCCACCCACATCACTTGGCGGAAATGGAACACTCTGTAGACTGACCACATTCCTAACAAATGGGTATAACATTTCCTTGTGGGGAGGAAGAAAAATCTCTGAGTGACATAAATATGTTCATCTGCTTATCTCCAGTTCTGGTGGCTTTTGTGTCACATGGAGAGCTGTTTGTCTGGCACAGAGCTGGGGAGAAGATGTCCATGTTCTCAGTTTTGTTTGATTCACATCTCCTTTCCATTCATGTCTCAGATCAGCTTCCTGTTACTTTTTTTGCAGTAAAATTTGTGTGCATTTTACAAACGTTTTGTTTCCTCATGTACGTATTTAGGCAAACCCTTGAATGAAGTGTGCTTGTGGGTATTTTTTTTCCCCTCCAATGATTTGTGTTTTAATCACACCTGTTTTTAAATTCGTGCATGGGTTTGTGTGCACTTCATTTCTCTGAATGGCCCACTTCGCCTTGCAAGCTTGTGAATTTTTATCACAAGTTGGAGTTCTTCTCAGAAGTGTTAAGAGCTATCAAATAACTACTTTTGAGACTAGTGAAACCAGGAAATCTCTTTCTGGTTCCATCTGGTGCAGAATTTAGCACCCTCAGAATTTTAACTTTCTCCCAAAGAATTTTTTTACATTATGTATGGTTAAGCCTGTGGGGAAACGTGTTGTTATAATTTTTTTCATCATTTCAGAAAAGATCTTGTGGGATCTACATTCTTCCTTTTGTGTCTATTCAGGAAAAAAGTTTTACTGTATGTGGCAATAGCTAAATAGCATGACCAAATTGTCATTTATACGAAAGCCGAGGACAGAGCTCAGAATATAGTCACTGCTTCCTTTTATTTTCTTGGCTGTCAATCATGTGCTGTCAATTCTGGCATATGGTGACTCTTTCCAGGGTTTTCTAGGGAGGGAGTACTCAGAAGTGGTTCCCCTTTTCCCTTCTTTTGGGGTGTCCCGAGACTGTGCAGCTTGCCCAAGGTCACCCAGGCTGGCTGTTTTCCCTGGAGGCACAGTGGGGGAATCGAACTCCCAACCTCTGGCTCCACAGTCAGATGCATAAACCACTAAGCTATTCAGCCAGCTCAGCCAATCTCATGGTGAGTTGCTCCTCTAAAAATCTGTCAATTGTTATTATATCCCCCAATGCATTTCCACGGTGAAGACTTTGCAGTATGTCCAATCGCCACCATCCATTTTCTTACGTTGGCAGCTCTATCCCAAGGGGCACAGAAGTCTGTGCCATCATGGATGGTGCTCAAGGGAGATCTATCCCTCCATGCAGATCCTGCCAAGGTGGGTAGACCTCCATAGAAGAGGTGGACATCACACTGCATCCCACCCCTAGGCTAGTGTGAACCAGGAAATGCATGGCAACCCATCTCTCTCTTCTTTATCCTATGGGATTTCCCTCCTGGGTGTCTCTTGGGAACAGTCATCAGGTGGGAAGCTGTACTCATCCTTTTTCAGCATTCTAAACAAACAGAAATGTCATGCCATATATGAACCTGTCCTATTCTATCAGTCCTTTCCACTGCTTTCATCTATTAGCTAAGCTCAGCCTCTCACCTTGAGTGCAAGGGCACCTGAACCCTGATCTCTTGCTCTCAGGGTTAATAGCTCTGCTGGCCCACATCTCCTTCCACCTGCATCTTTTGCTCGGTTTGCACCAGTCACTGTGTCTAATTCTGGTTGATTCAAGATGACAAAGATAATGGCCTCCAACCCAGACTTTAGTAGGGTTGCCTTTTAAGTTTATAAGCTCCAGAACTCCTCAGTAGCATCACCACAACCCTGAGCTGGCTAAGGAGCTACCTGAGCCAAAGACCATGCTTTAAAAAAACAACAAGGCTTACAGGCATGCAGTGGGCGTAGTGATCCATCAGCCGTGAACTGCGGGACTCCAAGACATGGGTGTGTGTCCGAGGAAGTGAACATCTCTGATCCACGAAAGCTTGCAGGCTGTATGATTTCTTCCACGGTCTATAAAGGTATCCCTGAGTCCTGCATTTGTATTGTGTAGTGACCCCATTGCTCTTTTATTCCAATCTGTATATAGTTACAGAGGCATGTATTTTTCTGAGCCTGGGTTAAATTTCAAGGTTCAAGCCTAAGCAGAAGGCTTTCAAGCAGAAGGGACACAGTGATGTCTAGAGATGGGCACGAACCAACACTTTGTCAGTTTGTGTGGGTTCATCCGTCGATCTGACAGATGTTCTGCAGTTCTGAGCCCCGCTTCCTCCAGCAGGCACCCACTCAGAGGCAGTGCCCAGAGGAGGCAGGGAAGGGAAGCCAGGGAGAGCCTCTGATTGGGTGCCTGCTGGAGGAGGCAGGGTTCCGAACTACAGAACACCTATTGGATCGATGGATGAACCGTCACGAACCACCAAACCAGAAGTTCATGCTAATTTCCAGTGATGTCTGAAGACTGAGCCTAAATAATGGTATCAGCATAAGACTAAAAAAAAAAATTATTGGAGCATCTTCATCAAACATAGAAAAAGAAAAACAAGCAAATGCATTCCATCACTGCGATGGAGGCGGCCATATAAGGCTCATAAGATATCCTCGCTGTAGGCAACCTGGGAGCGTTTGTCTTGGTAGGAGCCCTTGACACTGTTCTTCACAGCTAGAAAAAAGAGGGAACTATCCTTTAGTGATCTCGGACAAAGGAAGGCAACGAGCTGCTCTCCCCCCAACCCCCCGTTTGATCTCCAAGGAAAATAAAGATATGAACTCCATGCTATTTGTTGATTCCTTTCAGACAGAGGGTGGGAAAGATGGCCCTTAGCATACAGTTGCATCGCAATTCCCATCAGCTCTAAATAGCATAGCTCATGGCAAAGACTTCTGGGAGCTGCAGTCCATCAACATCTGGAGGAAAATACTTTGCTTGCCCTCTACTACAAACAATTCACTGCTACATTTTACCTGCATCTCAGATAAAAGAATGTCTGGAAGACATTCTACAGTATGATCCTTTCAAGGCAGAATGGGGCAAACTTCAGGATTGGGGTACTCGTGGCCTCTTTTTTTTTGGTATTTTCTATCTTTTTTTAGGGGGAGGGTTAAAATCCCAAGATCTGTCCATCGGTAGAATTCCCTCAGTGGATATGGACAAGAAACACCCGCCCACCCCGATTTCTGAGTGCTCTAACAATAATGACTTAGGCTGGGAATTCCTCTCCAGAAAAGCAGCAGGAAAAGAGGAAGACCAAATACGAGATAGACCAATTCCCTAAAGGAAGCCACAGGCTTGAATCTGCAAGCGCTGAGCAGGGAAGTTGAGGACAGGATGTTTTGGAGGTTGCTTGTTCATAGAGTTGCCATTAGTTGGGGGGGCGGGGACTTGATGGCACATAACAACTAATAAGGAATATTTACCCAAGGATCCCCATACAGAGTTGCCAATGGCTACATCCAGCATGGGCTGTTTGCGGGCAATGCTGACCTTCAGCTGGACATCTTCCACAACTGTACCATTGAGCTATAAAGAAATATTAAGATAATAAGCACTTTAGTGTGTTATATAAAAAGTCTGGAGATCAGTTCATTGTTGGACATACCCTGTTTCCCCAAAAATAAGACCTAGTATGATTTTTTTTTCCAGGATGCTCATAACATAAGCCCTACCCTCAAAATAAGCCCCAGTTAAGTGAAACCCGGCCCTCCACCCTTGTGCAGCAATCAAAAGATGATATGACTGTATTTGAATAAATGTAGATTGTTGTACATGAAAAAAAATAAAACATCCCCTGAAAATAAGCCCTAATGCGTTTTTGGGAGCAAAAAAGTAATATAAGACCCCGTCTTACTTTCGGGAAAACACAGCACATGCATGCACTATTTCACGGCTGCCACACTACTGCTTCAGTAGAAATCACATGCCCAGAAAGAAACCACAGGTTTCAAACATATTATTCTGTATTATTCTATAAATTGCTTATCTTAGCAAGGTTAAGCTGGGCTTGATCTAGTCAGAGAAGAAATCTGTGCTACTCAGGAAGTTTCCTCCCCCTCCCCCCCCCGAATGGGCAGGTGGCTACTATCTTAACCATCACCATCATCTTAGAACTGCAGAGCTAGAAGGGATCCTATAGATCATCTAGAATCATGGAGTTGGAAGGGCCCTTATAAGGCCATTGAGTCCAAACCTTTGCTCAAGTAGGAACCCAAATCAAAACAGATCGGACCGATGCTTGTCTAGTCATTTAGTCCAGCCCCTGTCAAGAAGGCATCGCAGGGAATCGAACTCCCAACCTCGGGCTCCACAGCCAGATGTCTAAACCACTGAACTATCCAGCCACCTTTATCTTCCATTCTTCCCAGTGGGTTTCAATCCAGGGAGGCAAAGCTATAAAGATGTTTTTGGATGGCCAGGTTAGGATTGCCCGTCTGCTGGGGGAGGCAGAGCTATCCCTGGGCCTTAAAGGACCAGGCCCAGCTGGACTCAGGTGGCCTCCCCTGTCATGCAATGGTAGCCGGATGTCTCATTTTGCCCTATGGTTTCATCCTGCATCCCTGTCAGGCATCTATGCCACACACAAAAAAACCTCCTTAAGGCACCAAGCTGATTCTCCACCTTTATCAGGGCATGAAGAACAGACGCTCACTGGGGTTCTGCCTGGTCCAGAAGAACCACCAATTAGGACAAGTGCTCATTCCATCGTCCACACAGAAGAGGGAGTTATAAGCAAAGTTCAGGTGAACTACAAGGCCTGTTGGGCAGAGGAGAAGCAAAACTCTAAGAAGGTCCTCATGGTGGCACTGCAGTTAAACTGCAGCCCTACAGCCAGGACTTTGCTCACGGCCTGAGTCTGATCCCAACTGGCCCAGGTAGCCGGCTCAGGGTTCAGCCAGCCTTCTATCCTCCTGAGGTTGGTAAATTGAGTACCCAGCTAGCTGAGGGGGGCAATGTATAGCTTGCATAATTAAACCGTATACCACCCAGAGAGTGCTTTAAGCATTATGGGGCAGTATATAAACAGCACACTATTTGCTTTAATACGTATAACCTATTGAGGCCTCAGACTGTTCAGGGGGTATAGAATACTATGTGTGGCTTGTGGTGGTAGGAAAGTGGAACGTGAAATCGTGGAGGAGGGCACAGCTGACTAGCTGGGACAAGGAAAATCAACCTGCCAACCTCCCCCATTTTGTTATAGCCCTGCTTGCATTATGCAACCCACGTGTCCTGAGGAAAAAATTAAAACAAAAAGCATCAGGGAACAGTTCCTCTGCTTGCCAGGCCCGTAGCAAGCAAAGTAGTGAGGGGGGAGAAAAAAGAGAGCCCGGTTGTACCTCAGCTACGGCTTGATCTGCCGACTCCATCTTGTCATAGGTGACAAAAGCGCAGCTGAGGGTGTAGGAAAAAGAAAAGGTTCAGCATCACTCTTTGCAATCAACACCCCCCTTCCGTGGACGGAAGGGGAGGTCAATCCCTTAATGGCCCACTTACAACATCACAAACATTACTTATTTATTTTAAAATGTACAGTATATCTCACAAGGCACCAGGGTAGGTTACAAAGCTGTATAAAAGAATTTTAACCCATAAGAGATTTAAAACATGCTAAAGGCAAACACAGTACAGTGGTGCCTCGCTTAGCGATCGCTCCGGTGAGCGATGAATTCGCATAGTGAGGGGGTCCGGGCCATCGCTGGAGCGTTCGCTCAGCGATGGCCCCTATGGCGTTTTTTCGGTGTGCGACGATCGCTAAGCGATTCGCTTAGCGATTTTCGCACAACGAAGCGGGGGAGAACAGCTGATTGGCGGTTCCAAAATGGCCGCCGCACCTTTCCCCGCCGCGCCCTCGCTTACCGAGGGCGCGAAAATGGCCGCCCCTATGGAGAAGCTTCGCTCAACGGTAAGTTTAGGGCCCATTGGAATGCATTAAACGAAGTTTAATGTGTTTTAATGGATTTTTTTTTGTTCCGTTGAGCGATGTTTCCCATAGCGAGGGTTAATCCAGAACGGATTAACCTCGCTATGCGAGGCACCACTCTACTGTATAAAATTGAAACATTCGTAACATTAAAACCGTGTCACTGAAGCCTGCACAGGCCACGATCCTCAACCCCGGAGGTATCTCATAAATAAGTATGTTTTGATTTGGCACAAAAATGATGCACCAATCAAGCCTCCCCAGGGAGGTCCCTCCACCGTTGGGGTAACAACGGCTTTGCCCCCCCCCGGCCAGGTCTCCACACAACAAACTGTTCTCAATGGTGGGACACGGAAGCGGGTCCCCCCAGCAGATCTTAGCAATTGGGCAGGTTTATATGGGCCGAGGTGCTCCTTCAAATATCCAAGTCTCAAATCGTTTAAGGCTTTATAAGTCATCATCAACACTCTGAAACGTACTGGGAGCCACTGCAAATAACACAGGCTTTCACGTGGTGTAGAAGACTTCATTAGCCCAAGTTTGACACTCAAGGTTTTTTTTTTTAACCATCTCTGTCTTATGAAGAGTTCTCTTGATTCTGAAACCTTGTCCCATTCGTAATTTATTTTGTGACCCAGCATGGATGTTGTTTGTTGTTGTTGTTGTTTAGTCGTGTCCGACTCTTTGTGACTCCATGGACCAGAGCACGCCAGGCTCTCGAAGCCTCCAGGCAAGGCGAGATGATGGTCACCTCAGATGGCACCAGGGTGTATAAAAATCGAGGATTTTTTTTAAAAAAAGTCAAATTGATTTTAATCACAATTCTTTCTTTAAATCAAGCTCCAAAATCTAATTTTTTTAAAAAAAAATTCAATCATTGGTGTAACAGAATGCTGAATGCTGCCATCAGTACAATCTATGGGTGCCTGCCTGGGTATCAGGAATTCACGACTTGCGATGGTAGGTAAATTGAATGTAAAATGGTGGATGAGGGTACAAGCTGACTAGCAGAACTCCACGCCGCCCCATTTCATGACCATTAATACTGTATATTCAAATCAATTTTATGGACTTTACACCGACTGGGATTCAAATCAATTTCACTGAAATCAAATCCACCCCAGGCGGCACGTTTAATTTACCAGGAGTCATGAAGGAATAAATAAAATAAAATAAAAGAAGGTGGCAGGGTGGGAAAAACAGCCGGGATGTGCTCTGTTTTTACACTGTTGTTGTTCCTTTCCTAGCGGCCTACGCAGAACAGCTTTCCGGCCGATCTCTCTTTGTCTTACGCAACCGTGTTTTGAGGGGGTCCCAAGCCAGCCTCCTTCCCAGCACTTACTTGCGGGGGTTGTCCATAGAGAGATCAATGATGTTGCCGAAGGCCGAGAACGCATTCTGCAGCATGGTCTGGTTCATGTCGGCCCCATACACATATACTGTGTTCCCTTTGCGTGGGGTACGCCTTTCTGGGAACGAATCTGATCCTGAGGGGAAAGAAACGGAGAACAGCACAGCCATAAGAAGACTGGGAATTTCTACCACAGAAAGGCCCAACCAAACCAAGTCAGAGGCTCTCAAAAATGTGCCTTGAAACAAACAGCTCCTGTTCTCTGCCAACAAAACTCGCGGCTTGTTTGCAAAATTCTCAACCTCCGATGCTGACCACTCGCTCCTCACAGTCTGATCATCGAAGCCTGGAATTTATCCAAAATCGAGTTCATGCAAAATGAATCTGTTACCGTTAACCGGTTAACATTCCCAGTGGAGTTTTAAAAATGCATTAGCACCGAAGAGCATCACGGGTTTCCGATCAACCATAAATGCTGCTTCTTACTTGACTGTTGTTTTGCTGGTCGTTTTTAAACAACGACACCTGGTTTTCTTCAAAACACGCCAACAACTTAGTAGGAGAGGAAATTAATAAATGAACCAAAAAGATGTTCTGAAGCGTTTCACGTCCACCCATCAACTGTGTTTCTTTAACAGTTCAATTTTAACATATCAAGATCAACGCAAAAAACATCCATGTTTTGTGCCCAGTTTTGACGCTCAACTAGCTGGACCCACAAAGGCAAAAAATCAGACTTTAAGATCCACCCAAGAAGCAACAGTGCCCAAGGATTGCACAGAACGAAGATACCCCCAAAAACTGCTTACGGCGGAAACTGCCCTCTCGGTCCCTCTCGCGATCTCGGTCTCGGTCTCTGTCCCGATCTCGATCGCGGTCTCTGTCCCGGTCCCTGCTCCTCTCCCGGCTGCGGTCCCGGTCATAATCCCACTCGTAACCACGCAAGTTTTCATTCCAATCTGACTCCTTTTCTGGATCCCTGGCCACTTCGGGATCTTTCTCTTGATCCCGCAGGCGATCGCTGGAGCTCACGAAGCTGGGGGGTGGGAAGCATGCAAAGAGGAACATCAACTCTCCCGTTCTACCACCGTGAACGCATCTGATCATCTCTGATTCTGGGAATTAAAAGAAGCATTGGAGCCTGGTTGCTCCTTGCATGGGAAGACAAGCACAGCCAAGGAATAGAAGGCATCGTATTGGGAAACTGCTACAGTTCCGGGGGTAGAAACCAGGATTTGCCTGTAGAAGGCCTAGGGTTCAACCCCAGCATTTCCAGATAGCATCCGGCCTGAAAAAGCCCTCCTGACTACTAAACATGTTAAGCCAAATAATTCCTACGATTCGTCTGATCTCACTTGGAAACTAAGGAGTCAACTGTCCAGAGAATACAGTAGTTCACATAGTCTTCTAGATCAGTGGACTACAACTCCCAGAAATCCCGGGCAGGATAGCTAGTGGTGAAAGCATCTGGGACCTGTAGTCTAAGAACACCTGGGTTACCCAAGTGGGGAACGACTGCCCCAGATGTTTCAGAGTTCAGCTCCCAGAAGCCTTAGCCCGTACGGCCCAGGGACAGAGATTCTGAGAGGTGCCATCCAAAACATCTGGCGGGCCAAACATTGAGGAACACGGATACAGAGTAGGCGGTTTGCCTACACTGAGGTTGGTCTCTAAAGCAACCGGTACGACATGGGCTACCTGCCCCTAAACAATCCAGCATGCATCATCCCTTGGCTTGGCCGAGGATGATGTGGATCAGATATGCTGGCAGTTTTTAGCTCTAAATGCCAACACATTTGCCAGCTTCTCGCCTATAAAACTTGCTCCAAGGTTTATTGGTAACAACCTGCTGTGTCTCTTTGCCCATTCTTGTCTAACCCTGCCTTAGGCTGAAATATTCAAAATAGTTAAAGCTCCCCAAACGCCAGGATCTTTGATATACTTCTGTCTTAAATGGCCACAGTTAACCCCATAACCCCAACCCTGTCTCTACTTTGTGGATTTCATTTCCCTCCAATCTTGCAAACGATTCCCTTCTCACAACTGGGTGCGAACAGATCTACACCAACAGCTCCCGATCTTGGTTTCTTAGGTGCTCCTGGACTACAACTCCCAGAAATCCTGGCCAGCAGCATAGCTAGTGGTGAAGGCTTCTGGGGAGTTTTAGTCCAAGAACATCCGGGGACCCAAGGTTAGGAAAAAAAAGTCCTATACAGTAGGAGCTAGTGGTGAAGGCTTCTGGGAATTTTTAGTCCAAGAACATCCGGGGCGGGGACCCAAGGTTAGGAAAAAAAAGTCCTATACAGTAGGATCCCCATTATCCGCGGGGATCCATTCCATGATCTACCGTGAATGTCTGAAATCATGGATAGTACTGAACCCTGCATACAGCATACAAGGGGGTAGGAGAAAAGCCACAAGGTGGTGGGGCAAACGTCACAAAGTCCATCCCATTGTATTTAGTATATACGGCTATGGTAAATCACAGATACCAATCCCGCAGATACAGGGATCCGACTGTACACCACAAGCATCCATCTAGCAGATACTGGTCAGATCACAGCTGTTCCTCACATCTGACGAAATGGGCTCTAGCCCTATAGGCTCATGCCATTATACAACTGGTCACTCTTTAGGATACAAGATTTTTCTTTGTTTTTAAAACACCATCACTTTAAAAAAATATATATAGTCAAAGAGTGCACTTAAACCAGTGGGAGATTTCTATCGCCAGCCTGAATGCTTTACTTTAAACCAGGAATAAGAGCTTATGGCCTTCTAGATGTTGCTGGATCATAGTTCCCCTTGTCCCCAACAACTGGTTAGGCTTGCTAGGCATGATGGGAAATGCATTCCGACAATATCTTGAAGGTCATGTAGCGCTCCTTCCCATCCTAAGCAAATAAAGAGAGACCCTTGTGCTCAAATCTGGATGGCGACAAAAACAGGGGCCCGTCACACACTTCCTCCCAAAGGGGACTTAAACCGATGTAATCCAGTCACTCCCTGTTATAATCCCCCCCTCCCCGAGACCTGGCCAGGTGGTGTGTTTCCATTTCAGAGCAGAAGGATGGATTTTTACGGTTTTACAATCAGAACTAACCTTTCATAGAGACTCTTCCTCTGGGGGCGCCGTGCCTAAAACAGATATTTAAAAAAACAAAACAGAACAGGTAAGTCAGGAAGGAGAAATTGAACTATAACCATCAACGAACAAGCTCTGTGTTGAACCAAGGGCATCTGCTGATCCATACACTCCCACTTCCCCTTTATTTTCCCCAAAGCTCTTCCATTTAGCCGCCTACCTCAATCTTGTGCTTTCCAGGTGGCTGATCCACCCGATCAGATCGCGCCGAAACTGTGGATAGCACTGAACTCTTACCTACAGCATACAAAGAGGTGGGACGACGGCTACAGGGTAGAGGGGCAAACGCCACAAAGTCTGCCCCCTTGGCTGTCATATGTACGGGATGATGGGTGCCTTTACTTCAATCTACCTCAAGGAGATAAAGCGAGAGCCTGCTGCCTCACAGGACCTAGATTTCCTTTACCTCTCTATTGTAAAATTGTGTATTACACATTCTAAGCCATTTGGCTCAAAAGGTTTCCCAATTCCATTCAAGAGAGCAACAGCCAATTTCCCTCGTTTGGGAAGCTCTGAGCGCCCATCTCCCAGTTGCCATTGGAGTGTATGACAGGGATTTTTTTCTGTGAGTTTTAACTTTTAAAAAGAAAAATATGTTAGAAATACGGGACAAGCCACAAGTGTCCTCCGTCAAGTTCCATTAGTGGACGATGTGTGTGGTCCTGGATCTCTGGAAGTTACCCACCCCTGCTTTACATCATTCTGTCATCAATCCTAAATTTTCAAAGAACTAAACGTGTGACAAAATGCCGAACGAGTCAGTTTCCAAATCTTGCAACAAGTGACAGGAAGAGATTATTTTTCAAAAGGCCACTACAAGTCCCAGAAATAATTAACTTTAAAAAGTAACTTTGGTACCTAGCTTTGGGGCCCCAGATGTTCTTGGACCACAACTCCCACAAATCCCAGCCAGCGCAACTAGTGGTGAAGACTTCTGGGAGTTGTAGTCCAAGAACATCTGGGGACCCTAGGTCAAGAGTCACTGGTCAAGGCTCTGGAAACCTCCTAAAAGTGAGAGGCCCCCCTAGAACATTCCCGGGGTACTGTAAATGGGAGAATCACAGAGACAATTCCTTTTCACCCTCAAAGAATCCAGTTGATCTCCTTTCCCAATCTGGAAACTCAAATTCCGGTACCTCTTGGGAATCGTCATCTGCTGAGATGCTTCGCTGAAAAGGCTGGAAAGTTGGGGCCGGTCCTTTTTCAGGATCCTAAAGACAGAAAGAGGTCAACAGCAGGTTGGGAAACGAACCGTCCCCGATACGCTGAACCGGCCTGAGGCGGCAGCTCTGCCCGCTGGTTCAGCTTACTTTCAGCTTCCCCTCCAGAGTGCGAGAGCGTTTGAATCCCGAATTCTTGTTCTCCGCTTTAATGGCGCTGATGGCTCCCGTTTTCACTAGCATCTTGGCCTGCTCTGTGGCCGTGGCCGTATCCACAACGGGCTGGTCTGAGATGGCTGAGGGACGAAAAGAGAAAGAAAGAAACAGAAAGAAACAGAGGTTACGACCTGGAGCTTGGAAAAGTTACATTTTTGGAAAATACTTCCAACTCCCAGAATCTGTTTTTTTCTCTCTTCAGAAATCTGCAAGCTGGAATTGTTCTCAAAAAAGTAACTTCCCCAAAGTAATTACCACACCCTGCTCCACCTCACCCTACTCTTCCATGGAGGCCTAACTCACATCGTTTAATTCCTCCTTGGTTGACTTGACTTGTTGAACTCTGTTGTTTCTTCAAGGCCATGAGGGCTTTTTTCTAGAAAGAAAAAGGAGAGGAAATCATTCATTCATTCCTTTTGTATACCACCTGATTTAGTGACATGCACTACTTCGGGCAGTTAACAATAATATAAAATAACCCTCCCAACCAAACCTCTAAATCCAAATCCCCCAAATCAAACCCGAATCCAAGACAAAAAACACTGACGACAATCAAGGTGACACAGTGCCCACAATTACTCTCTGTGTGCGTGTGTGTGGAAATATCTCTAGCCCTCAAAGAATTTGACTTTAAACAAGGCTGGGAAGGAAGGGATCTGCTGGATCTCTACCAGAAGCTCATCCCAAAGAGACGGGGCCACTACCAAGAAGGGTCGGTTCCTCATGAAACCTCCTTCGCCTCCTTTGGTATGGCCACCCGTAAGAGAGCTGGCCTGGGTAGATGGGGTGGCACAGGCGGATGTTCTTCAGGGAAGGCGCTCAGACAGATAATGGGGACAAAGAGTATTAGTTAGGGATGCTCCGAGCAGTTTCCAAAATCTATTTCCATCAGAAAAAAATTATTTCTTCACTTCTAACAAAACATATGAAAAGATCTTGGATCGAACCATTGACACCTCCCCAGTGAAAAAGGTCACACAGGTAGAATGAACAACTCACCCTTCTGGAACCCCCACATCTTTTGGGATTACAGTTCCCATCACCCTGGACCATCATGTGTGCTGGCCATACTCCCAACAAAACGGTAAGGAGGCACCTTCATCTGCTTCCCTTCCCTACTTCAAAGGGCTCTTTGGTACTGTCCCTGCTCTAGCCTCTTATGGCATGATAGAGAGGTGCTGAGTTCTAGCAGCAGTGGCATTATCCTCAGGTTGGGGCTGGGGAGTTGGCATTGCATTTTCCCAATCCCTGGAAGTGGCTGACTCCTGTCTTTGAGACAGCTCGGGGGCTCAGGCCTCTAGTTTTGGAGCCAGAGGTTGTGAGTTCGATTCCCCACTACGCCTCTCTGACAGGGGCAGGACTATAGGTCCCTTCCAGCCCAGCAGTTCTAAGATGATGATGATGATTATTATTTGCAGACAATAACAACGTGGACTGGGCAGGAGGGCAGCTTCGTAAGTGCCCTCAGATTCCCTCACTCGGAGTGGCCGGATGGCAGTACTATCTGCTTCTGATGATGGCAGACAAACTGACCTTCTTTTTGAGTTTTGCAAATTTCTTCTGCAGAGCTTCTTCTTCCTCCGTCAGTCCCGGCGGCAAGACAATCATGGTGGCTGGACAAAGTCAACTCTCTGGAAGAAGAAGAAGAAAAAAAAGAAGTCTATCAATTAATGTTCAATTAATGCTCATTGGGTCAAGTTATCCATATATCTCTAGGTATATAATTTTGTGCGATTCCCATGTCGGCTGGAAGGATGATGACTGTTGTATTTCCACATCCTCGGAAGGTATCAGCTTGGAGAAGGCTGCTCCGGTTTTTTATACAATGAAGTGGATTTTGAACTGCATGTTGTATTCCCCACCACCACCACATCTATTTTGACTTTGAACATAGTTCCATCCAAACCACCCCACAATTTGTTTAGCTACAAGTTCTTCTCCGTTCTGTTTCTCTTTTCCATTTAATATACTTCACATGCATTACACTTGAACTACAGCCGTCTTCAACTGCTTCTGTCTTTTGTATAGTGGGTTTTGTTGAGATCAGGTTTCCCTGCCTTACAGGAGAGCCGAGAAGACACAGCATGATACAATGCACATTCTCAAAGCCAATATCAGTCAGTCTTTCCTCCCATACTATATTTAACACCTCAAGGAAGCCATTTCAAGCTCTCTGTACTCTGATTTTATTGTGAGTATGCTCTTATGGTACTGAAACAGCGACATCTACGTTGCCTTGCTATATTTAACACCTCAAGGAAGCCACCTCAAGTTCGAGCCCATCTGCGTTAGCTCCGGGTGCCTTTTTGCACCAGATTCATGGAATCAGTTTTAACATACAAAGTCTTAACGGTTCGGAGCCTCGTTATATGTCAGAATGCCTCTGTTTAAGAACTTTTACTCACCCTACCAGATCTTCTCAAACCTCCTTATTGCAGTGGTCACTCCTAGAGAATCTTTGAAGGTTTCTACAAGGAACCAAGCCTTCCCAACTGTGGATTGTTCCTTATGGAATAGGCTTCCTCTGGAGGTGGGTCACGCCCTGTCACGGCACACTTGAGATGTTAGCAAGATTCAGCTCTACCTCCATCACTAATTCCTTTGATTGCTGTGTTTGGGTTTTAGAATTAATTTTTTTGTCTGATGGTGTGATTTGTTTTTCTTTTTAAATCTGCTTTACTCTTGGGAATTTGGAGGCAGATAAATTATGTTTATGTCTGTTGCTAACTACCCTGCATACTCTTGAGACTGAAGGATGCCTAATCTAAATCTAATACTCCTATGGTTCATTCAATCAAATTCTGAAGTACTGATATTCGTCAATACAACCCACATTTTCATTTCGGAACTTTAACTACATAAGAATTTTGATAGCATTTCACCAGTTCGAGCACATCTGCGTTGGCTCCGGGTGCATCTTTGCACCAAATTCAAGGAATCAGTTTTAACATACAAAGCCTTAATGGTCCGAGGCCTCGTTATATGTCAGAATGCCTCCGTTTAAGAACTATTACTCATCCTACCTGATCTTCTCAAACCTCCTTATTGCAGTGGTCACTCCTAGAGAATCTTTGAAGGTTTCTACAAGGAACCAAGCCTTCCCAACTGTGGATTGTTCCTTATGGAATAGGCTTCCTCTGGAGGTGGGTCACGCCCTGTCACGGCACACTTGAGATGTTAGCAAGATTCAGCTCTACCTCCATCACTAATTCCTTTGATTGCTGTGTTTGGGTTTTAGAATTAATTTTTTTGTCTGATGGTGTGATTTGTTTTTCTTTTTAAATCTGCTTTACTCTTGGGAATTTGGAGGCAGATAAATTATGTTTATGTCTGTTGTTAACTACCCTGCATAATGTTTTGCACTAAGTCGAGCAGGATACAATAAATAAATACGTTTCTTGGGCTGCTTCCTTTTGACCCAATACCACAAACTTGATGAGGATACCATTCAATGTTTGGCTTTACTAAGTAACTTTCTCAATGTCTTTCTATCCCTTTTGGGCCTACAGGCCCTCACTCTGTGTGACATGTCAAGGGATCACATATCACCTATGGCTCCTTGGTGCCCCCCCCAGGTTCTCTGGCCAAATATTTTTGTCATAGCCCTAGGGGACACCTCCATGCCAGGGGCGGGCATAGAGAGAAGGTCTAGATTTACCTGGCAGACTTCTGAATGATCTCCACTTTAATACCACTACCTCAGACTCTCAACAACTGTTGAAGGCAACCAACAAAATTTACTTCTTACCCTCCAGCCCTAAACTATATTTTTCAACAGGAGACTTTTTTTTAACACAAAGAGGAATAGATTTGGGTGGGAAAGGACAGGGTGGCTGCGTTCAGTTCCTAGACTTTAAAAAAAAAGCAAATTCCTGGCCTCCCAAATGCTTTCATTCCAACGGTAATTCTTTTGCACCGGGTTCCAAACGGTGGAATAAAAATAAGGAAAACCTTGAACAGACCCACGATCGTCAAGGGCATCCACCCCTTTCACTGCAACTATTATGAACCCCCCCACCCGCATCTCCCCATCTCAAGACAATACAGGTCTCTGAGACCCCCACCCCCCTTCCGACAATGCAACAGGCCCTCTGACCCGGGAGACACACGCCAAGTGCTCTGCCCGGGAATACGGCCAACCTCTCCCATGAGGCACCGCGGTTCATACCCAGAGATATATCGAGATGCACACTTTCTCCCCACGCACCACCGATTCCTGCTTCGGGTCTTCCGCCTCGTCTCCCCTTCCCGGGACAAACACGCAGGAGCAAAACGGAGCCCCCGAGGAGGCGGGCATGCCGATTTGCATAAACTGCCTAGCAACGTGAAGCCGATTGGGTGGGGTGGGAAAGGAAGCTGGGCGGGCGAGCACAAGGCGCGCGAGGATATCTTTAAAAAAAGCCGTGCGGGAGAGCGATTCTCATTTACATAGGAGCCCTTCATTGGCTGAATCGCAAAGCAGAACAGACACTTCCGAACTGCATAGGCGGAGTCAGTGGCTGGCTCTGCCCTATGAAAATACAGCAATACGCTTAGATTTGCATATGGCACTTTCATTGGGCATGAGCTGTGAATCAATTTCCTTTATACAAGGGGGGAAAAGTCCACCCTATCAACGCCCGCTTTTGCTAACCGGTACGTTTTTTCCCCGCCCCAACTTACAACTCACCAATCCAATGCAAGACTATGTCCTTCACTTCCGCTTTTCCGGGAGGACCAACGCCAGCTACTTCCGCCCGGGCTAGAAGGATGACTTTGCCCACGCGTTCCACGTCTTCGACTTCCGCCCTTAGCTTGTTGGCAAGGTGAGAGCACTTCCGGATTAAGGGACGCCTTCTGCTCGGTGTAAACCGTGGCGGCTGGGATGGAGCTGGAGAGGATCGGTAAGCGGGAGGGAAGCCGTTCAGCCCGAGTCTGGCTGGGGAGGGCGTTGTTTATTCGGATCCAGAACTACTAAATGGAGGCCTCCCTTTAGTGTGGACGGAGAATAAATAAGGATTAGCCTCCAATCCCTCGGTTCCTCCTTGCCAGCCTCTAAGGCTGGTGTTGGTTGTTATGGTATCTATTCATGCTTTTTGGGTAATTTTAACCGTGTTTCAAAAAATGGACCCTTTGGTCGGTATAGGAATTGGACCAACAAACAAGTAAATCAATACTCGAAAATTGCCTTTCATTATAAGCCGCCTTGGGTGCTGTTCAAGGAGACAGGCAGGGTAAAAAATATTTTAAATTAAATGATCTTTCAATAAAAAGCTTCTCGGGACGAAAGTGTTAGACCATAAAAACATTAAAAACACATTCCCTAAAATGAGAATTGTGAATGATGATGATGAAGAAGAAGAGGAAGATGATGATGATGATGATGATAATAATAATAATACTGTAATAATAATAATGTGTAGCACTGTGAGGTAGTATATAGTGATGTGTATGGTAATGCTATATCATAGACAGTAATTTTATTTTCTAGTTATGTATTCATTATTTATTTGATTTATTTGATTTATATCCCGTCCATCTAGTCTATACGACCACTCTAGGCGGCTTCCAATATAACATATGTTATGCAGGAACATATCTATTGCTTTGTGGCTAGAACGTTTTTACTAAAGAACAAGGCTCTGAGCTGGGAAAGCAACTGATAAATCAATTTTTATTGGGTAGTGGGACAAGATTGTTTCTATCTCATTTCTACGTTCTATGAGGAAGCTGGAGGTAGACCAGCCTTGTGAGGGGGAACAGGGTGTGTGTGTGTTGTTGCTATTACTAATAATACAGAATATGCTGCCGACTTATACTTCTTTGCCTGCCTTGTTTTGGTTGCAATATGCTTGTCATTTAAAAAGAGAGAGGTGATGAAAGAGGAAAAGAGAGAGAGCCAGGAAGTTTACTTTTGCCAAGGTTTGGATGTGGGAGTTTCTGTGTCTTGAGGCAAAATGACCAGTTTTGCCTACAAGATGCGAAGCCGCAAGCTGATCGTGGGGAATTATTTATAAGGCCTCAATGCTGGCCAATATGGGTGGCAGATTAGATGAAAGGATCAGACAGAATTAAGATGTGTGCTTTGGGGAGAGAAGCAATATAATACTTGTTCAGTTCTTTTTAATATGTGTATACTTACCGTTTTGAACTTCTAAATCTTGTCTTTTTAATGATGTAAGCCACTGGTTCTTAACCTTTGTTACTCAGATATTTTTGGACTGCAACTCCCAGAAGCCTTCACCACCAGCTGTGCTGGCTGGGGTTTCTGGGAGTTGCAGTTCAAAAACACCTGAGTAACAAAGGTTAAGAACCACTGCCACTTTAGCTCCTTTTAAGGAGAAAGACAGGGTAAACATATTTTTAATGAATAAATATGCATGAAATCCTGTCTCACAGAGACCCAAGCCTTTTGTTATTAGTAAAGAGAAATGGAAGGTCATCCAGAGGAGAATGGACTGTTAACTCCTACCACCCGCAGTATTGACTGTGATGGTTTGAACTCATGGGATTTGTAGTCCAGCAACCTCTGGTGTGATTCCTCCTGTATATGGTAACACACAGGCAAATTCCTTTTCGTAGATTGCACTTGAAATCCCAAGACCCTTCTAAATTTCTGGTCTGGCCTGATCCAAGAGATTTTGCTACCTGAGGCAAAGGGCGATGCAGAAGCTGACCGGCATGGCTGTCAAATCTTGCTTCAGCACTGTCAATGGGACAGTACCCTCCACAGCCATCGTAGGGAGCAGGTTGGCTTGGGGGGCACTAGGCAGGCCCCATGGCTCACCCAGTTATGACGTCTCCCCACCCTTCGGCATTTGCCTCCTGAGCTTTCTCAACTCTGCCAGGCAGTGGACCAGGATTCCCCACTGTGGCCTACGCACTTCAGCACTTGCAGCTGCCTATTTCCCCTCCATACCTCCTTCGGACTTCAGTATCTTCTTGAGGACTTAGTAGAAAGGATAGGAAAATCAGGACAGTGTCCCTTTTAAGAACTTTGCTTAGGTAGCTTTCATCAGTGAAGGCTCATTCATTGGTACAACGGTTCCCAACCTTGGGTAACCCCGGTGTTCTTGGACTGCAACTCCCAGAAGCCTTGACCACCATCTATGCTGCCTGGGGTTTCTGGGAGTTGCAGTCCAAGAACACCTGGGTTGCCCAGGGTTGTGAACCACTGCATGAAGAAAAAAAGGGGGGGTCCTAGCCCATCTCAGGCTGGGCCAGGCACCCTCCACCATCCCTCTCACCAGATCTGGGCCCAGCCTACATTTCTAGGATTCTGATGAACACACATAATTTTTCTCTCTCTGTGTGTGTGAGAGAATTGGAGAAGAAAATGGGGGTGTGGTAGGGAGATGGATTCAAGCTACAGGAAGTCGGATTTAGGCTAAATGTCAGGATAAATGTCTTAATTGTCAGAGCAAAATGGAACCAATGACCTTGGGAGGTGGTGAGCAGTCCAGCGCTGGGGGCATTCAAGAGAAAATTGGACAACCCTCTGTCAGATCTGCTTTGATTTCGGTTCCTGTTTTGAGCAAGGGGTTGGACTTTATGGCCTTATAGGCCCCTTCCATCTCCATTATTCTATGATTCTAATTGATTCTCGTGCCTTCTCCCCCATCAAGCCCAAAGGCACCAAGTACAGTGGTGCCCTGCTTAACGATTACTTCGTTAAACGACGAAACCGCTATATGATGACTGTTTTGCGATTGCTTTTGTGATCGCAAAATGATGGTCTAAATGGGGGAATTTCGCTTTGCGACGATCGGTTCCCTGCTTCGGGAACCAATTCTTCGATAAACAACTTTTTAAAACAGCTGATCGGCGGCTTCAAAATGGCTGCCTGCTGTGTAAAATGGCTCCTCGCTGTGTTTTTGGACAGATTCCTCACTTTACAGGCACCGAAAATGGCTGCCCCTTTGGAGGATCTTCGCTGGACAGTGAGTTATTCAGCCCATTGGAACGCATTGAACAGGTTTTCAATGCGTTTCAATGGGATTTTTTATTTCGCTTAACGAGGATTTTGCTCGACAGTGATTTCGCTGGAACGGATTATCTTCGTTAAGCGAGGCACCACTGTAGCTCTAGTTGCAACCATTTTGCTTACTTTTTGGCACATGCATTGACTTTCTTCCCCACCCCACCCCCTCTTTCTGCCTATTTCAGGTGTGGTTTAAAAGTGCTGCTGATAGCTTTCTGGTTGTAGGACAACAAGGATGAAACTAAACAATTTTCTCTCTCTTTTTTAAACTGCTTCAGTACCGCTGTTTTTGCCTGAGATCCAGGAAGGAAGTGGTCACTTCACAAAATTCTCTTCGTTCAATAGTTGTTCCAGGTTCTTTCAGGAAGGGAACTGGCCGTCTGCCCCGTGCTTTCCATTATAATGAAACCTGCTTGGAAGCACATCGTTTAACTTGACTTGACTTGAAGCCTTACAGCAAGGGGGCCCTTTCTAGTGTTTGGGAGAATCGTTTCTTGGACTGCAATTCCCATGATCCCTCCTAGTTCGGATGGCTGATGGCCTTGCAGGGTTGGTGGATTCTAGGAACTGTAGTCCAAAATAGAAATTTCTCCCAAGCTCTGATTTGTCCTGAATAACAACCAAGGGACACCCTGATGGGTCCAGGGGACAGTGCCTGAAAAAGTAGCTGTGAAACTTATCGTTTCTTCTTTTTCCCTCCCTCAAGCACTGCCCCCCAGGAAACCTCTGGATCTGCCCCTCTCCATTCTAGAAGTTGGATGTGCTGGTCGGTTTGAACTCATCACACATGAGAAGGAGCCCAACAGGGATGGTTTTCCCATCACTACGGTAAGAACAAGATTTCCCAACAGGAGGAGGCAACAGTCGACACCCAATTTTGTTTAGACATAGCCTGAACAAATTCCAAAATCCTTAAGATGATTTTAAAATTCCCAAACACTAACTGTATATAATTGAACGGATTCCCTACAGATATGAAGGTCCTACTGAATAGGCCAGCTGTTAGGCTCTTGTTACATTCTCCCTGCCCCCCCTTGAAAAAAATCCCTGCTCATTACAGCGAACTATATTGTTTGTAACTTGTGGCTTCCGAAATAGAGTAATCCATGGCTCCGCCACCTCTTTTGCCTGTTGCTACAGTTGCCGCATGGCTTGCCCCCTTATGCTGAGGATCTGGCGTCCGAACTGGAGCAGCAGTTTCTTAACAGCCCGGAGTGGCTTCCCATCCATCACTTCGAAAGGTCTCACAGGTGAGGTTGCCAGCATCAAGTTGGGTTTGGTTGTGAAGGACTTTGGAAAGCATTAATAGGGACTTGAGTGGCTGGACTCGCTGTCAAGTCAGACGTAGGTTGCAGCAGTGACTCAATTTGGGCTCCACTCAGAGTTTGTTTGTTTGTTTTTTCAAATGATTCAGATTTGATATGTAACCCACCCACCCCACCCTTTTTTTCTGAGGGAAAAAGCTTGTTTTTAATAGGGACTCAGGACTTGGTACCAAGACCTTGGACTCTAGACTAGAACCCGAAGACTTGCCAACATCCTCGTTGAAAAGGTCTTCCAAGGGAAGTTTTCTGTTCTTCACTGGGAGGTCAACCCCCCATCTATTGAAGTCAAAGAGGATCTGCAATATATACCTATATCACGTTATACAACTACTGCAGCTTCATTCCTGAAACTTAGAATTCTCTCCTGCAATGCTGTGTCCAGATCAGTGTTTATAATCAACTTAGACTGATCGCCAGTTGTGTCCCTACCTGTACGGTGGGCTCCTGATGACGTCAGTATGGGTGCTGGTGATTTTCAAGATCGACTGCTATAAGACTCTCTACAGGGGGCTGCGCTTGAGGCTGAATCAGAGATTGCAGTGAGCGCAGAATGCTTTGGCCTCCTGTTGCTCTCTGAGCCTGATTCAAGATTCTAGTGCTAGCCTGTAAAGCCCTTAGCAGTTTGGGGGCCCTTTATTGGTCGGAACATCTTTCCCTAAGAACATCACCCCGTACCCCCTGTTGTTCACAGGCTTCACTTCCTTGGGTCTCCAGACCAAGGGAGGCAAAGAAAATGGTCACCAGAAATCTATGCCTTCTCAGTCATGGCCCCTTCCCGTTGGAACAGGCTCCCAATACAAGTCCGCCGGACCCCCTCTCTATCCTCTTTTAATTCAATGCTGAAGATGATCCTCTTTCAAGAGGTGTTCAGGGGTGTCTTCCCTTCAGTCCACTTGTTTTTTTGTTCCTGCTATCTTTGGGTATTTTAATTTATGGTATAGGTCTCATGTATTGATGTTTAATGTTGAGGTGAGGTGGATAGGTTCATGGTTTGCCTCTGTGTTTATAGTTTTTTAGTCTGTTTTGTAAACTGCTTAGAATAGTGCTCTATAATAAATAAATAAATACATGCGGGGGAGTTGGTAAGAACCGTCTAGGGGGAATACGAAGTGCTGTATCCCAGGATAAATCCTTGTGTTCTCTGGCGTGGAGCCATACGGTATCAAGTGGTATCAAACTGCTTTGACTGTGCAGAGTAGATGTGCTCAAAATCTCTGCTCCCCAGATGAGTAAAGCAGGATGCAACTGCTGATGAGCTCCTTGATGGCTTGGGAGGTGTGTGTGTGTGTGTGTGTGTGTGTGTGTTTGTTCTGTGCCCTTAGAACAGACTTATAGTGACCCTAATTGGGCTTTCAAGGTAAGTGAGATATTTAAGGAGTGGTTCTACCAAATCCATTCCTCTAGTGACTGTCTATGTCAGAGCACGGATTAGAACCCTGTTCTCCAGAGTCCTAGTCCATCATTCTGTCCACTACACCACACTGGGAATGTGTGTAGGAAATGACTTTTTAACGCTGCCTGCTTTCTCACGGAAGGGTCTGGCCCCGAGAGAAAGACGTCCAGTCCCTTTTCCAAGTGGACATCACACCGGTGCACTCCACACTTCAGGCGGATCGCAATCCTACCACGGGCGAGCTTCTCGGTTTCAAAGAGGTAAGGAATTGTCCTTTGCCGGCACCCCACCCCCGTTCCTCTCAGAATGGCCGTTTGAGTAGCAAGCGGTAAGGATGCGTGGAGTTGATGGTTTGGGCTTCAATAGGGAAAAAGTAAAGTTGGAAGGCCATCATTTTGCTATTGCTGAGAGAGGAAAGCTTGTCAGGTCGCACCTGTGCATTTTCAAAAATTGAACCTCTGTTATTGTCAAAAATCAACACTCAAAGTAGCAGACCCTAATAATAGTCACACAAAAGCAAAAAACATAAACTGAGCAGAAGCGCATGAGTAAAACAGCTGAGAGCATCCAGTCAGTTAAGATTTCCTTTGACAGCGAATTAACTTAAAGGCACATCTTTGGACATCGCTTGAGTTCACCAGGTTCTGGTGCAGACCTGAATTAACTTAAAGCAGGGGTCTCAAACATGTGGCCCGGGGGCCCTTTGCGACCCCCCAGATGATAGTTTGTGGCCCTCGCCTTGTCTGTCCCCCCAAAGTGCCCTCACATCCTCTGCTGTCAAGAGTAAAAAAAAAGCCTTGCCTTGCTCGCCGGCTTTCTCCCAAGACAGCACCTCTTGCACCCTCCATCCAGAACTGCAGCCTGCCAGCCAGCCCACCTGTCTGTCGGCTAAGAAAACTCCTGGGCGGCTTCCTCGGGCTCTTGCTCCGCTTGGCGGAAAATCTGATGCGGCCCAGCCTCACCCAGTATCAGCCTCTAGCGGCCCCCAGGTAAATTGAGTTTAAAACCCCTGATTTAAAGGCACATATTTGGACATAGCTTGAGTTCACCAGGTTCTGGTGCAGACCTCACTCTGTTGACCCCTGCTGGTGGGAGGGAGGATTACAAGGTTAGGTAGCACTTGAACATTTTCCTCCACAGGCAAAGTCTGGTTGTTGCCATGCATTGTCTGTCAGTCTGTAAAAAGGAGCAAGGGATTGTGTCCTTTTCAGTGCTAGGCTGCAGCTTCCATTACCTTTGGATATCCTGGCTGGGAACTCTGGCCCACCTACATCTGACAGGCCTCGTGTTCTTAACCGCAGCCTATAAGAATGTAAAACTTCCTGGAAGAAACCAATAGTTTCACACAACCCCCCCCCCCGCTACACCACCTCCACTGGCTGCCAATCCGTTTCCAGGCTGAATTCAAAGTGTTGGTTCTAACCTATAAAGTCCTAAATGGCTTAGCTCCAAGCTGTCTCAAGGACCATTTCTCTCTTGATGTGAGCCTGCCCAAACTTTAGGATCATCTTTTCTCAGTCCTGCCACCTTCACAGACTTGTTTTGGGGGGGGCACAGGAGAGGGCCTTCTCTGTTTCTGCTCTGAGACTCTGGAACTCCCTCCCACCAGAGGCCTTCCTGGCTGTCCTTCCACGAGAAGGCAAGCTTTCACTGAGCGACTGGCTGCTGGAGTGTTTTTTTTTTTAATGGATGGTTATGCATTCCTGATTTGAATGTGCTTTGGGGTTGCTTATGGTTTTTTGTATGGTATTTGATTTGTTTTGGGGGGGGGGGCACAGGAGAGGGCCTTCTCTGTTTCTGCTCCGAGACTCTGGAACTCCCTCCCACCAGAGGTCTTCCTGGCTGTCCTTCCACAAGAAGGCAAGCTTTCACTGAGTGACTGGCTGCTGGAGTGGTTTTTTTTTAAATGGATGCTAATGCATTCCTGCTTTGAATGTGCTTTGAGATTGCTTATGGTTTTTTGTATGGTATTTGATTCTGTTTAATATTTGTATACTCATTGTTGGTAGCTTTTAATATTTTCTTTTAAGAGGTCTTCCTGGCTGTCCTTCCACAAGAAGGCAAGCTTTCACTGAGTGACTGGCTGCTGGAGTGGTTTTTTTTTAAATGGATGCTAATGCATTCCTGCTTTGAATGTGCTTTGAGATTGCTTATGGTTTTTTGTATGGTATTTGATTCTGTTTAATATTTGTATACTCATTGTTGGTAGCTTTTAATATTTTCTTTTAATGATGTAAGCCGCCTTGGGTCCTTTTATGAAGAAAGGTGAGGTAAAAAACACTTTAAATAAATAAATAAATAAATGGTGATCTTTGTCTCTCTTGTGCTACCTTAATGACAGGCCCTTGTAGACAACATGGGGCTTTCAGCCAAGAATTCACTTTCCTTTCAACGAGCCCCTGGTCCCCCAGCCGAGGCTCTGCGAGGCAGCGCCACCAATTATCCTTTCTGGCCAGGTATGGGTCTCCTATCCTCCTTCCTTTGGGGCTCTCGGAGTTACGGGTATAATAATGTGGTAAGGAAGTGAAGCATGGATGAGCTTGGGAACGAGAGCAGATTCCACCATTCTTTCCAAAATGGTGGTGATGGGGGTTTGGACAATATATATCGATTTGCGCATGACTTACGTGTGCTCTTTGTACCTTACTGGTGCTAGTGTGTGAAATTCTTTGCTTCATGTTTTGTTTTTAATATTTGTTCAATTATTTTTAATATTTGTATATTTACTGTTTTTGCACTTTAAGCTGCCTTCTTATCGAAGGAGAAAGGCAGAGTGAAAACAATATTTCAGTATTTTAAATAACTAAATAAATAGTAAATTCTGGCCCATTTATACAGTTCAGTTGCAGAATTTGAGTCTTTGGGTTTCGGAATTCCTACCGCACACTTAGCCATTCACGGCCCGGTGTTTTACCTCAACCCTTGCAGGTGGGATGGATGAACCCAGCCTGGAGCAGATCAAGGCTCAAGAAGACTTGGAGGAGGACATTGATTTTGAGAAAGGTAATTTCACTTCTTTAGGCATCTGCTCGTTCTGCCACAGGTCCTCCACAAGACTCTTTGGGAACTCTGTGTGTGTGTGTGTGTGTAAAACAGGAGATGCTAGGAAAAGAGTGAGGAGAGTGGAACGATTCTGGGTGAATGGCACAGGCAGCTGAGTAAAACAGGAGGTGCTAGGAAAGAGTGAGGAGAGTGGAGCGATTCTGGGTGAATGGCACAGGCAGCTGAATTATCAGAGTCTGTATTAGAGGGCCAGGGTTAGTGATGCTCAAATGGCTATCCAAATAGCCTTTCGTTGAACTTAGGACAGAGGTTATAAGGGTTGTACATGGTTGGGCGTAGATGGGGAATTGAGACTGATTGCAAAGAGGTGCTAGGAAAGAGTGAGGAGAGTGGAGCGATTCTGGGTGAATGGCACAGGCAGCTGAATTATCAGAGTCTGTATTAGAGGGCCAGGGTTAGTGATGCTCAAATGGCTATCCAAATAGCCTTTCGTTGAACTTAGGACAGAGGTTATAAGGGTTGTACATGGTTGGGCGTAGATGGGGAATTGAGACTGATTGCAAATTATTCGCTATATGAGAGGTTTCCTTTTGTTCTTTTATTGGAAGCCTTTCCATGCCTTCTGCTACTGCCAGTGGCTGATCTGTGCCTGGTTGGCTCCGCTTTCCGGTTCAAAGAAATGCAAGCCACTTGCCCTAACTGCTTGGTTGGCACACTGGAGGGCCAGTTGAAAGTGGGTACTTCCAGGATCAAGGAGGGCCGCTTTGTGCCAGGTGACGTTTCGGGGTGGACTGGCACCGTGCATCAGAGCCGCGGCTGTCTCCGTAGGAATGTTTCCGTGCTCCTGTCCAGAATTAGCGAGCTGTGGCTTCGCTGTAAGAGCTGGAACTTAGACAAGTTAGTACTTGGGCTGCACCAGAGAGCTTGGGAAAGCTGCTTGTTGGGACTACATGTCCCAGAATCCCCGTGCCAGAAAAGCTCCCTAGAAGTTGTAATGAAAAATAAATAAATGACAGGGTTTCTAAGCATTGATATACGTGACGGAAATAAGAATAGGAAAACGTGGGTTTTTTTCCTCATGGCCCATGAAACCAGCCTGGTAAATGGGTCCCACCTCTGATTCCCTCTTCACTTTCTCCCACAGATTTGCTGACGGTGCCACCCGGCTGGAAAAGAGGGGTTGAGTTCACAAAGCAAGGTGTGTGGGGAGGAGGTTGGGAGCTGGGAGGAGGGTCTGCAGGAAGGGGCTGGAAAACAGCAGTTGGTTCTGTATACGTTTGCCCAGAGCTTGGAAGTGTTACGTTTTTTTGGACTGCAGCTCCCAGAACCTTGCAGGCAGCATAGCCATTAGCGATGATGATTGTGGGATTCTGGGATTTGTCGTGAGGGAAAAAAGCAACGTATTTCCAAAATCTGGGTTTCTAAGGTGTGAAGTAGATTGCACCTTTGTCACTCAGCCAATGACGTGGCTTGCCTGCTTGAGATTCCTGGCTGAAGAACAGCACCTTGACTCCGTGTACTTCTCCTCTTCAGAGCTTAAGGCCTCTCCTGGGATGCTGAATTTGACCAATTTGCTGGGAGCACTGGACACCTTGGATCTGGAGGTCTCCAGCGATGAAGAAGGGGACAAGGAGAAGGCTAAAGTAACTGAGAAGAAAGAAGGGAAGGAAAGGAAGACAAAGAAAGAAGAGGTTCCCCCAGCAGAACCAGCACAACTGCAGAGGGCAAACAGCCTGGAGGAACTGGTGCTGAAGGTAGGAATGTATGGCCTGGGGTGTTAAAAAGCCCAAAGCCACCTTGGTTTGATGGATAGGGGGTTGTGGACTGAAGCTCAAGTCCTCATGAAACCATGAAGCTGATGGGCTGACCTTAGGCCAGTCAGTCACTTTTTCTCCACATGGCCCATCTCAGCTTTTGTGAGGATCAAGTTATGTGTGGAGACAAGAGCCATAAATACTGCCTTGAGTTTATTGGAGGAAAAGCAAAATATATTCTGTAAATATGTTGTTGTTTAATCCTTAAGCCGTGTCCGACTCTTCGTGACCCCATGGACCAGAGCACCCCAGACCCTCCTGTCTTCCACCGCCTCCCGGAGTTGGGTCAAATTCATGTTGGTTGCTTTGATGACACTGTCCAGCCATCTCGTCCTCTGTCGTCCCCTTCTCCTCTTTTGCCTTCAGTCTTTCCCAACATCAGGGTCTTTTCCAGGGAGTCTTCTCTTCTCTCTTCTCATGAGATGTCCCAAGTATTGGAGCCTCAACTTCAGGATCTGTCCTTCCAGCGAGCACTCAGGATTGATTTTCTGCAAAACAGATACGTTTGTTCTTGCAGTCCAGGGGACTCTCAAGAGTCTCCTCCAGCACCACAATTCAAAGGCATCAATTCTTCGGCAGTCTGCTTTCTTTATGGTCCAGCTCTCACTTCCATACAGCACTACAGGAAAAACCATAGCTTTGACTATTCGGACTTTTGTTGGCAAGGTGATGTCTCTGCTTTTTAAGATGCTGTCAAGGTTTGTCATTGCTTTCCTCCCAAGAAGCAGGCGTCTTTTAATTTCGGGGCTGCTGTCTCCATCTGCAGTGATCATGGAGCCCAAGAAAGTAAAATCTGTCACTGCCTCCATATCTTCCCCTTCTATTTCCCAGGAGGTGATGGGACCAGTGGCCATGATCTTAGTTTTTTTGATGTTGAGTCTCAGACCGTTTTTTGCACTCTCCTCTTTCACCCTCATTACAAGGTTCTTTAGTTCCTCCTCACTTTCCGCCATCAGAGTGGTATCATCTGCATATCGGAGGTTGTTGATATTTCTACCTGCAATCTTAATTCCGGCTTGGGATTCCTCCAGTCTAGCCTTCCGCATGATGTATTCTGCACATAAGCTGAATAAGCTGGGGGACAATATACAGCCTTGTCGTACTCCTTTCCCAATTTTGAACCAATCGGTTGTTCCATATCCAGTTCTAACTGTTGCTTCCTGTCCCACATATAGGTTTCTCAGGAGATGGATAAGGTGGTCAGGCACGCCCATTTCTTTTAGGACTTGCCATAGTTTGCTGTGGTCCACACAGTCAAAGGCTTTTGCTTAGTCAATGAAGCAGAAGTAGATGTTTTTCTGGAACTCTCTGGCTTTCTCCATAATCTAGCGCTTGTTAGCAATTTGGTCTCTAGTTCCTCTGCCCCTTCGAAATCCAGTGTGGATTTCAGTTCAGGTAGATTTGGGGGAAGAGGAAAAGGCTCTGTTCAAGTGTCACAATAAACTATGATCCGCTGGGACAGGAATGAGCCTCCCTTATCCTGCCACATGGCTATAAGGAGAACAAAAGCATGACTGAGAAAAAAAAAACATAGCTAAGCAGGTCATGCTTAACTATGTAAACCATAGTCAATTTGAACTATGTAGTTGATTGGACTTGAAACATTCTGGTTTAGTAAACGATGGCTTGTAACTGGTTTGTTTCTGGTATAAATAATATCAGCTACAGTTTGATGACACAAAACAAGCCATGGTTAATTTAAACAAAGGAAAGCAAGAAGAAGGAATGGATGAGCTCTCTCCTTGGTACTGAGCTAATTAGAAAAATGATTTCAGCTGGACTCCTTGGTACTGAGCTAATTAGAAAAAATGATTTCAGCTGAGTAAGAAGAGGGGAAGAATTCTCTTTGTGAAAGGTCAGGGAAACCTGGCGCTTGATCGGCAGATTTTCTAGAACGGCCTGGAATCTGGAACTCTGTGTACAAAAAGGGAGTAGAATTTATTTTAGTTGGCTCAGTTATTTCTCAGGAGAATGATATGCTCATTTGCTGCCTCTTTCAAGATGTGCACTTTATTTATGATCTGAGATTATCCTGAAGTCATGCTAGGATGTAAATACTAAAATAAGTTAGCTAAACTTCTTGGTCTTTTTCTTTTTCTGGGTCTGTTCTGTAATTGCGCTTACCTCAACATTTGATTATTTGCTCCACAGCCTTTGTCTATTTCTGTGGCTGTAGAACTGTTTTGGATGCTTTACTCTTTGACTTTTTTTCTTGCCGCCTTTAATAAAATGTAAAAAATTTGCACAGTTGTGGGTTCATTTGGACTAAGAGACTTTTTGGTACTTAAAACCAGGCCTTACCTTGAGCATCTACTGGGAGTCTTTCTGTTTGTGGGTATATTGGTATTCTTATCCGGTAGGGTTGGTATGAGAGTCAAAGTGCTTAACCCTGTGGATTTTTGGCAACTTCCTGGAAGCGCTGTTTAGTCAGATTGAGACTAAGCTTTTGGGAGGATGCCAGGCAGGAAGATTCCCTCAGCCCTCAGCACATTTGCCCTACTGGACCTCACTCATACGGGGCAATCAGGGTAGTGTGGCTGAGTGGTTAATAGGGGCCTTCCTGACCTTGACAACAATGTTAAAAACTATTACAATGCAAAATTTAGTGTAAGGCACAGATTTCTAAAAAATGACAGCTGATGGCACCATGTCAGAAACTGAAATATCCCTTTCTCCTTTTACTTAATGTCACACATACTTTCTGTGCTTGCTTGCTTGTTGTTGGTTTTTGACTGCCTGCCTCTCTTTGCCTTGTTCCCAGGAAGTGACACCCAGCCCCAAATCAGCCCCACAGACTGCCCCAGCTCCCACAGCCGAACCCCTCAAAGAGCAGTGGGCCATCCCCGTCAACATCAGCTCCCCCGTGGATGATTTCTACAAGCGAATTCCTGACCCAGCTTTCAAGGTGAGAGACCGATGCTGTGAGTTGGTGGGAGAGGAAGTGTAAGGCCAGGGCAGCGCCTGGAGGCTATTGCACTTGTCTGGGTCTTGGCAGGTCTAGGCTCTCATCGTCAGTGAGCCATGAAACTCACTGGTTGACGCTGAGCTAATTATTTTCATCTTCAGCGTGACCTATAATATGACCAGGCTGTTGTGAGAATAAAGGAGGGGGAGGAGAGCAACTCATGATGCTTTGAGCTCAGTGGAGGAAGAACAGGATACAGTGGTGCCTCGCAAGACAATTGCTTCGCATGATGACGAATTCGTTTTACGATGAGGTTTTCGGAGCAATCTTGCGCTTTGTTTAACGATGTTTCCTATGGGCGATTTTCACTTTACGATGTTAGGGACCATGTCTCGTAAGGCGGTTAAATTTTAGGTCCCTGTTTTTCGCTTTACGGTGTTTTTGACAGCTTGGTCTTGCTTCAGTATACGAGTCTTTTAATGGTCTCTGTTTCGTTAGACGGCTGTCTTCGCTTGGGAACCGCGTTTCGCTTAACAATGTTTCCTATGGCAATTTTTGCTTTACGATGACAATCCGTTCCCATTGTAACAGATTATCAGGTTTTCAATGCATTTCAGTGGGAAAATGTGTTTTGCAAGACAATATTTTCGCTTAACAGCAATTTTCGCAGAATGAATTAACATTGTCTTGCAAGGCACCACTGTATAAATGTAACTATTAAATGTAATATGTTTATTTATAAACCAATATGAAGCAGAAAGCTAGAATGTGTTGATCATATACAGTAGGACCCCCATATCCTTGGGGGACTCGTTCCAGACCTCCTTGCGGATGCTGAAAACCACGGATAATAGCAAATGCTATACACAGCATGGTAAAAGAAAAAAATCCAGGAGAAAAGTATTTTCACCATGTATTACCAGAACTGGCTAACAGAGGGAGCAAGACACCGCAGTATGTACGTATTCCTACAACAAAAATACAGATCTTGGTCTCTTTCTCCCTCTGGTGGCCTATTCTGGTAAATACATGGTGAAAATAACTTTTTTCTAGTTTTTTCTTTCTTTTAATATTTTCAGTCCTCAGGTAAGTGAAACTGCAAATATTGATTCCATGGATATGGGGGTTCCTACTGTAATGAGAAAAAAGCAAGTAAGACTGTTATAGCTGATCATTCAAGCTGAAATAAATGGGTAAAAAAGGAAGAGAATTTAATTGGCTGAAAAGCCTTGGGGGACTGGTTTGGATGCCGTACCGCATCCTTATGAAAGAGGTATCACATCCAAAGAGAGAGTAAACATGATGACGTCGCTGAGAGGAGAGGAATAAAAAGAATGCGAGTGGATAAAATAAGTCTGAGCTGCGTTTTTGTGTCTGCTGACTCTCCTTCCCTTCCCCTCCAGTGGCCCTTTGAGCCTGACGTTTTCCAGAAACAGGCCATTCTCCACTTGGAGAAGCACGATTCTGTCTTTGTCGCCGCCCACACCTCGGCGGGGAAGACGGTGGTGGCCGAGTACGCCATCGCGCTCTCTCAGAAGCACATGACACGGTGAGAGCAGCCTGCTTTGGGGGGTCTCCTTTGTACGGTCTCTCTCTGTGCCCTGCCCCGTCTAAAGATGCCTGAGGGTGGTGTAAACTAGAAATGTTGGGATTTGTGCCCTGCTTTGTGTTCTTTTTGACAAGCAGAAGTAGAAAAATGTCGCTTCCGTCTTTTGAGGATGGAAACGCTCTCCCACAAGATGCTGCAGCAAAAGGCATGTCCCTGTTGGGGGTCCCTAGGTCTATGGAGAGGTGTGGCGCTCATTGTGTGGGAGTTGTTGGATTCCAACTCCCATCAGCCCCGATTAAGGAGGCGAGGATTGAAGGCGATGGGTACCGTGGCCCTGAAGGATCTGAAACGTCCACGTTTCCGGGTCGGGGGCTGATGACAGTGACCGATGTGAAAGAAGGTTGCAGAAACCTTTGGGCCTCCCAGTGTTTCAGACTTCAACTCCCAGCCAGCATGGGGGCAATAGCAAAGCCTTGTGGGAAATGTAATTCAAACCTCTGGAAAACCAGGATCTTCCACCCTTTGTCTCTCTGTGCCTCTTTTCAGCACATTTATATCTAATAGCTTGGGCAGTCTATTTATTGTTCCACATTGGCATGTCTTTCTGGAGATGAAAATTGTCCTTGGAAATCTTCCTCCTCTCCCTGGATTTCTGACTTTCCCCATCCCTTCCTGTCTCCTCTTTCAGCACCATATATACTTCCCCCATCAAAGCTCTTTCCAACCAGAAATTCCGGGATTTCAAAAACACCTTTGGGGACGTGGGGTTGTTGACCGGGGATGTTCAGCTTCATCCAGATGCCTCGTGTCTCATCATGACGACGGAGATCCTCCGGTAAGAACTGGGAGAAGGTCAGGGTCTCGGGTGACCAGGGTGGGGTTGGGCCAGATATCTGAATCCTTCCCTTGTTTTAATCTGGCATTACCGTTTCCCTGAACATCTCATATGCTGAGTGCTCTCTACCCTCTTGGCAGCCTGGCAGCTTCAGCTGGACCTTTTAAAGAAAGCAAGTTTCTAGTTCTCATGGTTACTATAAAGATCAGTTTTAGGTTGTGGAGACGTTGAATTTTAAGAAGCAGAGGCTGGAGTCTTGTTTCAAGGTAGCTGGGGCTTGGAAACGTTGGTCTTACATACGACAACTCACAAATGCACACACATTTATCATACTGCCTGGGGATTCTAGGATTTGTAGTCAAAAAGAGTAACAGGGTATTGACAGAGCTTAGGAAAGTTTGTTTAGAAAAAAAAGACTACAACTCCCAGAATCTTCCGTCTGGCATAGAAACCTGCCATAAAAGGGCTAGGAAGTTTCTGGGAATTAGAAACATTCACGGGGTGGGTTGCAGGAGTACCTTGCGGGGAGTTCTCTCATCTAATCACCGCCTTCCATTTTGTCACTATGTCCTGTCTTGCAGCGTGGTGTGGTCTGGGAGGAAGTCCTCATCATGTTGCCAGACCACGTTAACATCATCCTGCTCAGTGCCACGGTCCCCAACACCCTGGAGTTTGCTGACTGGATTGGGTGAGCAAGAGTATCTACCAACTGCTAGGCCAGATCAATCCAAACTCTTTCTAGCCCATCGTTCTGGCCACACAGTGGTCAGCCACGTGCCAGCGGGAAGGAGGCCATGAGTGCAACAGCGCTATTCCACTCTTGCTTCGTGTTAGCTGTTATATACAGTGGCATACTGCCTCTGACACCCTGTAGATAACTATGTAGGCCCCTTGACTAGTAGCCACGGTGAGCGTGATCCCTCACAAGGTTGCCCACTCTTTTGTCAGAGTTTTCCAAGTGGGTTGCTCTGACCGCCTCCTGTGGAAGCAAATTCCATAGTGCGTACAATATAGTTGTCATCCTCTTTGAACTAGAGCTGGAAGGGACCCTATAGATCATGGAGTCCAGCCACTGTCAAGGAGGCAAAGTGGGGAACTGAACTCCCAACCTCTGGCTTCTGAGCCAGAGACTTAAACCACTGAGCTATCTAGCTGTATACGTTTGGAGTCTACCATTCACCGAGCCACCATCTTTTAGGATTCAGTGAGCGTGATCCCTCACAAAGTTTTCCACTCTTTTGTCAGAGTCTTCCAAGTGGGTTGCTCTGACCGCATCCTATGGAAGCAAATTCCATAGTGCGTACAATATAGTTGTCATCCTCTTTGAACTAGAGCTGGAAGCGACCCTATAGATCATGGAGTCCAGCCGCTGTCAAAGAGGCAAGGTGGGGAAATGAACTCCCAACCTCTGGCTTTCCAGCCTGAGACTTAAACCATGAGCCATCCAGCTGCATACGTTTAGAGTCTACCATTCACTGAGCCACCCTCTTTTAGGATTCAGGGGATGCACAGGGTTCCATTGCTCCCACCTGGCTCCTTCTACAGTAGGTGTGGGCAGAGAAGCAGTCCTTCAGATGCTTCTGGGCATCAGTTCCTATTAGCTTTAACCAGTCTACCCCATTGTAAGGAAGGTTGTGAGTGGCAATCTGACCACGTCTGGAAGGCTACACCTGCCCAGCCCTGTTCCTCAAGCAGAAGAGGTTCAGCAAAACCTTGGATCCTTTGTTTGCTTATGAGGGCATGGAATGTGGGAGGTCTTGAGTTGCCTCTTCCCAAAATAAGCCAGGGTTATAAGCTAAAGCAGACCGCTGAAGAATTGATGCCTTTGAATTGTGGTGCTGGAGGAGGCTCT